TGTCCCGGACCCGGTGGCTTAAAACTCACGCCGGGCGTGTGTGCGTGTGTGCCCAAGATCCCAAGAGGAGAATGGAGGAGAAGGGACTGCAGCGTGGACATCCCCCGGGGGGTGATTTCTCGCTTTCTGTCTCTCTGTCTCTGTCTGTCTGGCGAGCGCACGTGCCCTATAGCGAAAAACCTCTAAAAAAATACATGTACACATGCAAACACAATATACACACCACATGTATACACATGCACATGCCACACACATGCACACGTGCATGTACCACACACATGCACACGTATGCATACTATACACATGCACACATTGCATACACACACCATGTGCACATACACACACCACACACACATGCCACACATGCCACACACATATGCATGCACATATGCATACAAACATCACACACATGCACAAACCACATACCACATGCACAAACGTATGCATGCACACATGCATACGCACCATACAGGCACCCAGCACACATGCTCACATGCATGCATACACTCCAGACACACACACCATGTGCACATGCACACAGGCCACACACATGCACATACCACACACGTATGCATGCACATATGCATACACATGACACACCACACATATATGCACACCACACATGCATACATGCACATATGTATACACACCATACACCACACACCTGCACATGCCACACATATAGGCACACACACACCAGATACACATACCATGCACACACCGCACATGCATGCACACACATGTGTACACACAGTGTACATACCACACACATGCACACACCACACATACCATGTGCACATGCACACACCACACATACCATGTGCACATGCACACACGCAGACTACACACACGTACATAGACACACACCGCGTGCACACGCACACCGTGTTCGCATGTTGGTGCACCAGTCTCCCCAGTCCCAGAGGAGCCTGCTGCTTAAGTGGGAGAGACCGGCTAGAAAATTTCTGCTAAAATGTGCCTCCCACGACGCCTGCCGCAAGGGGGGAAAATGTGCCTCCCACGACGCCTGCCGCAAGGGTGGAAGGAGGTTCTGCGCCCACAACTGTGGGCGAGGCCTGAGGGGCTGCTCTGCTCACAGAGGAGATGGCGGAGGGGCTCACAGCCTACCCTGACATGCGTGGGCAGGGAACGGGGGAGTGGCAGGCCCAAACCAGGGGCGCGAGCGCTTGTCTGAGAGGAGAGACAGGCCTCCCGCTACAACTGTGGGCGCTGCATCTTCACCGCCAGGCCCTCCCCAGGACACGTGTGTGCTTGTCTGTGGGCCGTGACTGCAGGCCGGGCAAGGCAGGCACGCTGGGCACATGAGGCCTGAGTGTGAGGACTCAGGCTGTGGCCGTGACGAAGGCCTGAGGGTGGACAGTGGGTCCTGCAGTGCTTCCTCCGTGTGGGCGCGGCTGTGTGGCTAGACCCGCAGCTCTCAGAGAGTGAGCTCGGTCCCCGCTGAGAGCCTGCCGGCCGACTCAGCCTGGCCCAGTGAGTGCCTGCTGTGTGCCGGACGCCGTGCCAGATGCCCGCGGAGAACGGCGCTCAGCCCTGCCCGCCAGGCTCAGTGCAGAGGGCCAGGCCGCGCGCTGTCGGGGCGCCTAAGCCTGGGCTTCCTCTCTGCCCCTCCCTGGCTGCCCGGGCTCCCTCCCGTACTTCTCTGGGACCGGGCACAGCAGAAGGCCACGATGGTTGCCATGAGGACGAGGAAGGCCACGCCGGCTCCCACGGCCACCCCGATGATGACGGCCATCGGCACGGACTCTGTGGGAGAGAAGTGGGCACAGCTAAGGGGCGGGGCAGGCACGGCAGGACACCGACCCACGGCCCCCCCCCGC